TCTTGCAAACCTTAGCAGTCCTTCCTTATGTTTTCAAAAGTTTTAGTTGATATTTGATTTTTTTGTATGTAAGAATTTCTATGTCCAACCATGCTGTTACAGACTGATTGTAAAATCTGAATACTGTGAGTCACTTTGATTTGGATAATATTCCATTGGCAGTTGTTTCCAAGCATACATTGGGGGGGGGAAACAAAATTGCCCCCGAAAAACAGGTATAGTGCTAGCTAACACCTATGCAGCAGGATTTTCCTATTTTTACTTCCAATTGTAGTTCTTTATTTTATACTGGATGCCAGTGTGGAGGGTCTCCCGACCTTTAGGAGTGGCTTTTCAGAGGGGTGATTAGCTTGTTGAAGGAAGGCAGGGCAGAACTGCTTAAAAGGCCTAGTGCATACATAAGTCCTGTGAATATAAAATATCCTTCTTTTCTAACCTTCCCTATAGCTTTTCATCACCTGAAAATAATGCATTTTAAATACATTATTATTCTTTTGCTAACCAGAATCTGGGCATATCAAACACAGTATAGCACTACCAACACCCATGCAGATGTTCAGGAGATTGTCACAGTGACATGATATATATTATCATTAATACTTTGGTGTCCTTTCCTGAAGACCCAACAACCTGGGAAATTAAGTAGTAATGCTGTTATGAGAATTCCTCTCCCTTTTCATTTTTCTTAGCTAACCATTAAGGCATCTAGTTTACATGATCATTCATGGGTTATTTCAACATTTTTAGGACCTAGGCTGTTAATCTCATTGACTAAAATTCCCCAGCCCCAGAGCTCCAACACAAGGAAGGTAATATTTCTTCTTTAAAGAACCACACTAGTCTGTTTTTAATATTCAATGGACCCAAATTACCCAGCATTCAATCTAGGGCTAAAATACTTAAGTCACTTGATTCTTTGCTTGTGTGTGCTTAATGAAGAGCAGCTCTGAAAATGCATCAGAGCTCAAGGGGGATTATGGGCGAAGAGGCTGTTTAACCATTTTTCTTTCTTCTGTATATCTACTCAGCTCCCACCCCCAGCTGCTTTCCCACTCACAAGGGAAAGAAAACCAATAATTTGGAACTACATCTGGAAGGATCAATCATCAATAGAGAAATGTTGCTTTGACATCTTGCTATACACAACTCCTCTACAGAGTCATACTTTGTCTAAACAATCATCACCAGATACAAAAATGGAAGAATCATATCTTCCTAGATAGGCCTAGTTAGGTTTGTTCAACAATTCCTTCTAGAGGTACCCTCCTTTCAAGGAGGGGTGCTTGGACTCTAGTACCAGCAACATTCTCTGTGCAGCAGACAGGCTCTTGGGAATAGCTTGCCAAAAGAGAAGCATAAGATACTTTTTTTCTGGGTAGATTCCAAAGCAGACAATGGTGACCTTTGTTGAGGACTATTACTCTGATTTAGTTTCCTCTGCTGTTCTGGTAGTCTCTTGTTGGGTTTGAAGGTTCTGCAGTGCATTATGTGATGAGTGAACCTTTATGATCCGGTTATGTTTATAGTTTTATTGTGAAAGTTATTGCTTTATTTTATTATTGGTTTTTTTCTTGTTTTTGGAGGCTACTCCATGCATAGTAGAACTACTACAAAAATTACTAAAGATTACGTGTCTACTGTTACTCAAACGTTTTATAATTCCTATTCTAATTACTGCTTCTTTTTTATTAGTAGCACCTCTCTAAATTGCCATGTTCATTAGGTTAAAATCATTATTACTGTTTTAAACTGAAATTCTATTTATTCTGATGTTACCCACCCTGAGCCCACCCACGGGATGGGTGGGATATAAATGCAAATAAATTAAAAATTATTCTAACATTTTCTAAATTTAATTTATTTATAACACGAAACTTAGAGCATTGAAACTATTTTTGTTAGAAATAAGTCAACTTTTCCCTTCACCTCCTTTGCTAACTGTTGGATGAATACCATCTGGTATTATCAATTTATTTTTATTTAATGTGTTAGTTTGTTCCCGCACTTTGTCACTTGATCTCTCATTCTTAGATATGGCCCCTTAATTATTACCTGACAAGAACTGATAATATGCATGCATCTGTCATATTAGCTACTTTGGAATTTACTTCATCCCACGAGTTGAACCCTGGTAAACCAGATCATTTAGCAGTTTTCCTAACCCTTTGAAATACTCCTAAAATGGTATTTAACTGTTAATGTTTTGTTTTCTGCTGCTGACTACAGACACAAAGAAATCATCTCCTAGACTACTTTCTATTATCTGTCACTTTCATTAGCCCACCTTAGAATTCCCCCAATCATTTTACTTTGAGAAGTTATGGATATATTTGGCCTCCAACTGTCTGCATCTTGCAGAATATACATGTTGCCTTCTCATTTTAAATTGTGCTTCTGCATATGTTCTGTCTACAGTTACACGTTTCAGCATAATGGGACCCTGCCCTACTCTTGCAGTTTGTTTTAAAGGCTTGCTTTTGCTACTAAAGGGGCCCAATTAAATAAGCACTTTTTAAAAAACAATACACCTGTATATATTATGGTATTATATCCCTATCACCAACAGGAATCCCCTTAGGTTGCACTGTAAGTTGCTTCTGACACTTGCCTCTGTAGCTTTCAGAAGCACCTATCAATTTACTGCTGGGAAAGGCCTGTTAAAACAAATAGGGCACATTTTTCAGTTCAAATGCAGATATTCTCATGTAGTTCTAATCTTCTGGAGGTGGGTCAATGTGAGTCCCAGACAGCTCCACTCTTTGGGTTGGGTGGTGGTGGTGGTAATTCTAAACCTTGTGTTTTGTGAGTTAAGTATTTGTTATACTGAACACATACATTTTTATCTCTTTTTTTCTGAACCAAGAACAAAGCTTCAATAAAAATGTAGCTTTTTATTCCTGGAGGCAAATATGCCTCCCTGTTCTACCCCAGTGTCCTAGCTTATAGGTGTGATAGCAGAATGCTTACTCTGCATATTACACCCCTTCAGGGCTTTCTCAATTAGCTTTTTGTCTAATTCCCTTTATAGAGCTCAATGTTTTCTTAATGGTTTTTGGTACAATCTGCCCCTGGAGAATGTTAAACTTAATTATGCTGTGGTCACTATTACTTAGCAGTTCTGCTATAGTTACCTCTTGAATAAACTCTGCTGCTTCCCTTTGAATTGAACAGAGAATAAGGCTCCTCACTGGGAAACACTTTTTCCGCTCTATAGAAAACCATCCTTCTAAACAACTGCTTTCTTCTCCCCTCCCCCAAAAAGAAACTTTAGTATAATCTTAGACATCATTTTTTTAAAAAAAATCATTACAGGTAAGTAAAAGTCAGCCATGTAATTTCATATTTAATACAGATTAAGTCTTGAATATCAAATAGAATGCAAAAACCAACTGGGTGGTACCACACCCCCAAATTCTTTTTAGCATTCATTTACAATATAGGACTTACATCTAATATAGGATTAGGTGCAAAAGATCACAGCTCATGAGAAAATATATAATGAAGCTGACTAGCCATGCATCATGTTAAAATGACAAATTAACAGGAAACAGGCTTGTTTTCTAACTAAAAGTCACTCACCCGTTCTAACAACCCAATTCAGACACGAACTTGCCATCATAAAAGTGATAATTACTGGGTTCAGCCACCAATAAAGAAATATTATCTATACCGAGGGGCGGGGGGGAGCAGACACGGAATGGAAACACCCAGATTAAAATTATGTAGAAATACATAGCTAAAAAGTAGCTATAGAGTAAAAGAATGTATTCATGAGACTAGATGGATCACAAAGTGAGATAAAACAAATAAAAAGCTATCCTCCTCTACAGACAAATTAAAAGGCAACATATACAAGAAATATTACTGTTCTGAAACAAATTATGTGCTTTACATCAGTAACTAAATATACAGCTTACAAACCTGATATTAGAAACTTATGCTTGTTCATAGTCAGTTAAGAGGTAAAATTGGCGTAAAGATTGAATGCCTGACATATAGACTGAATTCCTGGTGGGCAACTGCCAAGACAAAACTGAAGAAAAAGACAATGAAGCACTCCAGTATTCAACATGTATTTCAGAACTCTCCTGGACTCCTGTAGCGACATCACTGTCATACCACTGTCTTCAGTCAGGTTTCCTTTTTCTCTAAGAAGGATTCCTGCAGCATTTGCAGCCATTTCACTTACTGAATCAAAGCTTTGCTTTTGCTGATGCAACACTGCTTCTCTCAGTTCCAGACACACAGACTATAAGAAATATCACAAGCACTTCTAATCAAAGGAAGACTTTGGGACTTGTAATAAAACACAATGTGATGGAAGGTGATTGGTATATTTGGTATCTTGGCCCCCCCAAAAAATATGACTTCAAGTGGCACAAGATCTGAAATTAATAATGAAGTAACTTTCTTAAGCCTACACACTATCCTCTGTGTCACCAAATATCATAATGATGACTATCAGAAGAATTCAGAGAGCATTAGAGCAGAACATTAAAGTTCTTCCCTTGAAAGATGGTCAAGGGAACAAAAGATAGTAGAAATGGCAGTGAACCATGACTCAGAAGATGAGCTCCAAGTTTTCAATGGGAACAGAGCAGCTGTGGTACAAAACTGTTTGGTGCAGTAGACATCTCAGTAAAGAAGTACTACAAATACCTAAAAAGATGAAGAAACACTTGTCTTCCTAATTATTTACTTCAAAATAATGCACTAGGGTATCAGTTCCAAAAAACAGCTACACATTTGTTTTTTACAAATCCATCTTCAACTTGATCCTAGAAGTTACAAACTTAAAATGCCACAGGCATTTAGGGAAAAAAGGGGGGGGGGAACCAACATTTCTCTTTTCAATGATTCTCAATCCAAAGGGTTTCAAGTGGTTTTTCCCCCCCTATTGCCTCGGGTACACTGTTCTATTCCTAACAAGCACATTGTGGGAATGGAGATTTATTTCCAGGAAGGAAACACTGTCTAGCAGCCTTTTGAACAGTACTTACTCAAATACGGTGGTTTGTAAGGCGCTCGTGTATTAGACAGCAGTCCATCCAGTTCCTTCCTCTCCAGAGTGCTGTGAAGGGCCTTCTCTTTGCCAAAGGTGGAGAAGGACCTCTCTGCCCCAGGCTGAGCTTCTGGTGTTTCAAACACTTCAGTGTCTGGAACAGAGTCCATACCAGGAACATGAAGATTGCTGCGGTAATCCGCAGCCTGGCGTCCATCAGAAGGGACAAAAGAGGGCATCCAACACCGATCCGAGTGGCCCAATGCTTTACATTCTTCTGTGCAATTAGAGAAGAGATCCATGCCTACATGCAGGAAAGAGAGAAAAAAACTGCAGATATAATCTTCAGCATCATGATGACCAGCTGCTGATTGAAGCAGTCAAAAAAGGGGGGGTTTGTCCATCACCTTCATCCTATTAATAAAGAATGTGATCAATTTAGCCTTTAAAAAGTAAAAAAAAAGTGCTCAAATGCCCACAGTTGGCAAAACAGTCATAAAAAGGGAATATTATTTTTTTCTTGTGAAGCTACTCCATTGAGCTTATTGGGGAGTAAGTCCCATTCCTTTAGAAAGTGTTGGCAGCAACCTGTTGCCCAGAATCTGACAGGAAAGTGGTGACAAAACGAGAAAAAATGGCTCTTACTAAGTTGCTGTTCATTTAGATTTCACCAGTGGAAAATAAATGTAGAATGTGTCTGAAAAAATCAAAAGGCTATAAATTGAGCATCCTACTTTAGAGGAAAGAACTTGACTTAGAAGAACTAGTCTTCTCACCATTTCTTCCAATATACTTTTCGTAGGCTTCTTCCTTACAGTCCCATAAGCCACCATAAAACTGGAGAAAAGCTTCGATTGAAATTACACTAATTACTAGCACTAAGGGCAACTGTTGTCCGATGTGACACAGATCCAGATACTATTGACAAACATGTTAATGCTTACTCTATACCGACAAAGAGTGGTTCTTGCCAACATAGAACTGTTTGCTTACAAATCCTATAAAGCCATTAGAATTCTGAATGACAAGCAGAGTTTCTACTGATGAACTTCAGATTGGCATTTCAGTAGACTGATTGAATTTTAAGTCCAGGTTTCTTGAAAAATGGTGATGCCTGAAGTCTTTTAGAATGGAATGGAATAACCATCATTAACTCATGTATTAAGCCTCTGGCGGTTAAAAATTACTCCTTAAGATCTTGTTTGGGAAAGCTAAGTATTTTAGATATGTTTAATGTTTGTGTAACCTGAACAAAATCATTTGCTGATTTGGCCTTATAATGACTGCCTTAAAATTACTCCATGAACATACTAAAGGTAAAGGTTCCATTGCTCGAAAGCCAGTCGAATCCGACTCTAGAGTTGCGGTGCTCATCTCCATTTCAAAGCCAAAGAGCCAGCGCTGTCCAAAGACATGTGGCCGGCATGACTAAACACCAAGGCACACTGAACGCTGTGACCTTCCCACCGAAGTGGTACCTATTTATCTACTTGCAATTTCTTTCTTTCAAACTGCTAGGTTGGCAGGAGCTGGAACTAGAGATGGGAGCTCACTCCATCATGCGGCACCCGGGTCTCGAACTGCTGAACTACTGACCTTCCACAGCCTGCAGTTCAGCGTCTTAACCACTAGAGCCACCACAGCTACTACTACTACTATTACTACATACTACTAGTACCTAAAATGCTATAAGCTCACTGATGTAACCTTCAAGATGTTTTTCAGTACCAACAGTAGCCAGGACACCACTGGATGTTCATTACTGTAAACCACAGATCATCAATTCCTAAAATTTTGAACCAAAACTCACTGGCAAGGCATTATGGCAGATTTACAAGTTGACTGAAAGGATCTGATTGTAAAAGATAGGAGTAATTTGCTGCAAAATCTGTAAATTGCATGATTATTCAACATCAGGATTCAAGAATGGCAGATGGTTCTCAGAGAGGAACCTGGGGAGGAATGCTTGCTTTTTGATAAAAAGGATTGGGAACCATGGACATAAAAATCATTAGCTATCTCCCCCAAGCACACACAAGAGCTTAAAATACTGGAATGGCTTTGAATTTTAATTTGGGGCATATAAGTAAGAAGCAATGTGCCAGTAAATATTCTGCAAACAAGAAATCCCACCAATTGATCAACAAGTATTTGAGAAAGTAAAAAAAAAAAAAGCAAGGGGATTTGTCTGAGATTAATCTTGCTTTATAATGACAATTTTATTTTAAATTAAGCTATGTGCAGTACAAAGCCTAGCTTTGTTTGTAACCTTCTACTGATAATTGGTATGCATAAGTCTGGAAGTAAATTACTAATCGGTGAGCTGTTGAGGAATGCAAACATGAACGGCAGCAGGGATTACAGATTTATGGAAGAAACAGCATGTGAGACATACAAAGGGTTTCAATGAAGTAAATGGCTAGCTTGCTGTCTTTGCTGCTATAGAAAGGAGCAGAAAGAATAAAAGGTATACCAACATATCGCCAACATTTCTACAGCACTGCTTTTGTATCAAATAATTTTACTAGCTGATTACTAGGTATTATAGCACCAAAATCAGTTTTAAAAATTAAACTTTAACATTTAGAGTTCATAAAAACAGGCAAATATAAATATGTAATACCCATCATCTTTAGAAGGAATCCAGTTCACAATATTTACATCTGTTAAACATTTTCAGAAACTGAACGCAAGTTAAAGGGATAAATTGTTAAGATTTTTTAAAATGTATTCAACAACCAGGCCCTCTTTCTTTTATAGTATAAATTGTCTGCTGTTTACAATCTCACATTAGGTTCTGAGCCACAAACTCACTGTGGCTTCCTATGACTTCTGCCTGCCAGCTGCAGGAACCAAGCAAGTAACATTATATAACAGTGTGATATAAAACATGAAAACAGTACTACAATGACTGGAAATTAGAGTCACGATGAAGCACTCTAAGTACAACTGATTTCATGGGCTTGCATTTAACCCCTTCTCATTGAAATCAATGGGGCTTTCAAGTATGAAATTCTGTCTGGGTTATGTGCTATTTTTTAAGATGATAAGGTTAAACTGGGAGTATTTTATATAATGTGGTTTTGTTGAAATAAAGAAGAAATCTCTGAAATCATTGAAATACAAAAATGTATATGGTATTATTGGTATACAATCCTAGGTGTACACATTTGCATTGGAAAGAGATGCTTAAGAATGGTGGTGGCTGTATGGAGATGGTGTTAAATATTTCTATTGTGTGAGCAGCTGTTCAGCACCAATTTTCTGCATGGAAAATGGTAATGTTAGGAGTTTCCTCCACAATAAAGTATACTAATCACTGAAATCCTGATATGGAAAACTAACATACAAAATACTCTTTTAAAATCGTTTCCATTAAGTGAACATCAGCCAATTCTTATAGATTCTGGCCATCATGCAATTGTATCTTACAATATGGTATGCCTAAATGAAAACTGGATTGGTTTGGAAATTATACTAGCACACACACAGGCTTTAATTCTGATTCTCCGTTTTATTAAAATATTCTTCAATAGGTTGACATTTTACCAAATGGTTTCTAACAGGTGTTTTTTCATGGCATCATAATGGCCTAGAATTGGAACAAGAGAAGCCCAGCTGGTGATGCAGACATGTACTAAATTGAGAAAAGGTGAATGGCTAAGTGACTTGTAACTTATTTACAGTGAATTTTTGCAGAGTGACATTAAATACGAACCTAATATGTTTCTCTTGGCACAATACAGTGCCTGTTTTGGTCACTCTTACAATGCCACATAACAGAGACTTCAAAACTTAGAGAAACTGTTTCTTCCTTTTTGTTGTCATTTCTCTATTTGCTTTCTGTAGGGACCAATTTAAATCCAACTTTTAAAAAACAAGCACGTTCAATTATCAAACACATTTCAAGTCACGTCTAGGATTGCAACTGATCCTCAGGCGACAGAGATAAGTTCCCCTGGAGAAAACGGCTGCGTTGGCAAGTGGACGTTATGGCATTATACCCCACTGAAGCCCCATTCCTCCCCAACCCTCCCTCCTAAGCCTCCCCCCCCAAAATCTCCAGGTATTTGCCAACTCACAGCTGGCAACCCAACTCATGTCTCGCACAGGGTGCCTAAAAGTATATTTAAGAGGACATTTATTAATGAGCTAGTTCAGCTCCAGACAAGGGTGTAGACTTTCCAATTTCCCGGGGGGGGCTGGGGCTCGACCAGAGGCATTGCTTTGCTAGGAGCAAGGGTGGCTCCCGGGGGAGGCTGAGTACCTTCCTGAAAATTTCGGCGGGGGCTCACGCCCCGCCGCCCCCACGAAGATTACGCCTATGGCTCCAGACATTATTTCCTTATTTAGATACATGTCCTGCACCATTTTGAAGGTTCAAGATGCCTACCAAAAGCTCCCACTGCCACAAAAACAACCAGAACAGACCAGTTTATGGCCTATGGCATTAGGGTAATTAAAGCAGCTACATATGTCTTTATATTTTCTAATGCAGTGACACTCACTCAGGAGCCATATGTGGCTATTTGACATGCCATCTGAGCATCTGAGCATGCTTCCCCAACTTGAAACCTTCCCCACATTCCAGGCAAATGGGCAATACTATTGTCCCAGTCAAGCTTGTGGCAGGTAGGTGATTCCCACCTTAAGTGTTGGAGGGACCGGAGGATGGGCAAGGTGCAAGCCTCTCTGTGCTGTGGGCCTTGTGCCAGGGATAGAGGGATCGATCCTCTTCAACGATACCCCTTTCTCTGCAGCCTCCACAATCTTACCCCAGCACCTGGGCAGCTGTTGGGAAGAGAGCAAGTTTCCCACAGAGAAGGGAGAGTAAAACCACCACATGGGCATCCACCCAGGAAAAAAACAAGCTGGTGATTTTACTCCTCTTTCTCCACAGCCACCTTGCGCTCCAACAAGTGCCTTGGCAATCGTGCTATCTCACCTGAGCTACTGTGCTTCATGCTTAAGAGAAGGTGAAAAGCCTGCTCCCTCAATCCAGATATTTAAGTGCTAGCTAAAGTTCAAAAATGGTGGGGAGAAACAATCTTACATGCTCAGAGGTACTCTGGTCATTTAATATTAATATCTCCATCTTATTAGTGTATGTGTTTGGTGGGGTGATACACAGGCCACACAGTAGTCACGTGGTTCTTCTGCTTAATGCAGATGTGGCTCTCCATGTGCCTTGGACTGAATATGCCTGTTTTAAAGCAAAACAAATGGCCAGTGGTTGATGTCATCACTAACATACTTGTTCAGTTGATTTAAAACTAGAAGCAGAGATTGTATGCTATTCAGTAAACCATCTGACTGAACTATTAGTATTTTGCCAATAAGAACTGAGGGGGAGGCTGCCCACACCTTACTCCTCCATAAACAAAGAGTCATATTTTTGATTTATAGCTTAAAGAAATGTTCAGTCACTCAAACACTTCCATCTCCATTCTGTCATAAATCTCATTTGATGTGCAGTCTTTCTGGGCTAGCCTATCCATTATCACTGCCAATCTACAGTGCGGAAAAAAACATTTTAAACTATAATTGAATTTGAAAAAATGGTAAAAGCTTCAATTACAGTGTTAAACTGGTTCTTTAAAAGTGAATGCAAGTTATGAATGTTCAATGGCTTTGCTGAAAGGATTTAAAAAACTAATACAGAGAACTACTCAATAATATTCATCATTATTTATATCTAATATATGCATTCTAAAATCTTATCAGCCAACCATGTTTCCTAGCTTTTCTGTCTAGATCCCACAACTTGCCCCTAATCGCATCATCCACCATAATTAAGGAAGCCATGAAACATCATTCCTTTAAAGACAGCCTTACAAGAAGAAAAGGTATTGGTTGTGGCACCAAAGACATTCTCTTGGGGGGGGGGACTGTCGCAACAGCAGCATAACACATATTAATACACATATTTTCTTCAAAGTTTAACATGGAAGTTGGTTGCAATCCTGTCTAGGGTTAGGCAGCTTAATTCCCACTGCGTTCTTAGAGAAATAAAAACCTTCAAAATACACCGGACTACAGCCATGGGAGTTACCATAAAATCACTAATTTTGCTCTGCAATGTTATGCATTTTTTAGATTTGTTTCTTCTTGATTAAATTAAGGAGAAAAAACTACAAACACAAAGCCTCCAGAGATTTTGAATAATCTTCAAAGTACCATCCTTTAATTATCCAATTAAAAATTGCAACTGTAAAGTAAGGTACTAATATCTGCCAGATTTCTTTCCCCCACATTGCATCTACTTTCATCAAAATGCTGTATGTTTTATTAATAAAGTTGCCTGCCATTTCTTCAGTTGTAAAGATAGTCTTCACAAGTTTGCTTTCAGTAATCTATATGCTCCCTGCTCCACTTCCCATGAGCTTTACAAAACATTGACATCATAGTTGAATCTGGACTAGTAAATCGCATTATTAATCATCATAATCATAGTGAAAGACACCAAAATAAAATACTTGGCCACTGTCAAAGAACTGCCTTAAACCCTTTTCCCTCATGTTCAATCCTATTTTCCTCCAAGACTAGCTAAATGCCAAAATCATCTTCAAAGCGGGATTGAACTATAACACTACAGAAGCGGAGAGAAGAAAAATAGCATTCTGTGCCCCACTGGGATTTTTGTCTTTTCATTGGTCATTCTCCACACATGAACTCAAGTGTAATTCTCCTTCTAGTTTCTATCACCACAGCCTACTGGCTCTTTTAATGGCTGCTAAAAGACTATTCTCCGAACCCACTTGACAACAAAATCCTGTGAAACTGCATGCATACACTCTTCAAAATCCTAGTGGTTAACTTTTTAGTGGGGGTGGAAAGTGCTATCAAGTCGCAGCTGATTTATGGTAACCCCATAGGGTTTTCAAAGCAAGAGACATTCAGAAGTGGTTTGCCATTGCCTTCCTCCATGTCATGACCCTGGGATTCTTTGGAGGTCTCCCATTCAAATACTAGTCAGGGTCGACTCTGCTTGGCCTCTGAGATCTGACAAGATCAGGCTATCCAGGTCAGGGTAACTTTTTAGTAACCAACCTCTTATGAATGTGGGGGGGGGGGCTAAAGTTGCAAACCTCCAGGTAGGGCTTGCAAATCTCCCAGAATTACAAATAGTCTGTAGATTATAGAGGTCAGTTCCCCTGGAGAAAATGACTGATCTGGAAGATAGGCTCTATGGCATTATACCCCACTGAGGTCCCTCCCCTTCTCAACCCCTGCCCTTCCCAGGCTGAATCCCCAAATCCCCAGGAAATCCAAATTGGGATTTGGCAACCCTAGGTAGGCCTGACTCCCCAAACAGTCATATGCTAGAAAATGATGCCTTAATCGATATGGTACTGCAACACAGTAATCTGTGTTTGCCAGTACAATCATTAACTCTTGTCAAGAATCAAACTCTATGCACTTTTAATTGCTAAATAAGCTAGGACTAGAGTTCAGAAGACTCTTCTCCCAATTCAAAATCTAGCTTTCCAAAGGCAGCTTCCTCATATGTTAATTTTGTAAGCAACTAGAGGAAGTGAGGTGATGGCTTCAGTCCAACTCCTGGCAGAGAGGTGTCTGTATCACTGCACAGAGCACAAACAAACAGTGATACTTAGCACCTACACTGGAAATCTCTGCAGAGAAGCTTAATTATCCATGGAGGTGGTGAGGGGGGTGCCCTCAAGCTTAGATACGACATCTTGCAAAATTTCTCCAATACACTATTATTCTACATGCAGAAAGATCTTTGGTTCTAAAAAGCATTATGAAACACACACACCCCTAAATGCACATATTCTTTTCCCTATTTTAAGTTGGCTGTAATTTATTTAAATTGGAATAGCTGTCCTCTAATACTTCAGTGAATCACAACAGGTGACATTCACATAAAGGTCCAAGCATAGTCATCAACAAAGCAGCTCTACTCCTACACATCTTAGTAGCAAAGGTGGATGGTTCTAGTGCACACAGTATATACATATTCGATTCCATCTCTGCAAAAAATCTTTATTCACAATGATCACCATAAATGCTCAACAATAATTTATCAAAACTGGGTAAAGTAGTCATTAATTTAAGCCACAGTTTCACTTGAAAATGTTAATCCTAATTAGACTGTAAAACTATTCTCAGTTTTATTTGTAGAAGCCCGTAATTCAGATTAACAGGCAGGCCTACAAACTAAAGATTTTAAATCACTAAATCTTAATCAGTTTACGTGAACCTATTCAGCTTCTTTGATTTAGTGTTCAAACAAATCAAACAAATGTATGCCTTCAGAGCTTGCTACCTATTTAGCTAAGTAAAACAGCACCAATAATTGGCCACAGATAAGAATTGATGCCAAGCATCAGGCATCATAAATGCTCTAATTCTACATAAGCCTTTAAAAACAACAACAAGTTAGCTAAGAATAGTAACACTACTAGATTCTTCTAAAATAAAATGGCTTTTTGCTTGATGTGCATCACAATTTTATTCCCACACTCTGCCTTTCTATTCCAGCTCCTTATGCAGATGTTTATTCTTTCCTCTCCTATTTGGTTATTATGGTTCATTATGTTGAGAGAATAAACTGATTGAAATGTTCATGGAGATGAGTACTACAATAAAATGTGTTAAAAAACTAAGACAACTAAAAAGAAAAACAGCCAAAGAGATAAGGCAATGGAGGATTTTTATAACCCCTCAACTTCTGATTGTGGAGGCTGAGGAAAAAGGGGGAAGCAAAAAGCACAGATTTGGGCAGGCCACAACAAATCATATGCCAAATATAGGGCAAAAACCCCAAGGAGGCTCTGTGCTTCTCTGTAAACTTCTGGCAAGAGCTGGTTTGTTGTCAGGTTCCCAGACATAAAAGAGAGACTGTTCACTGCACATGAAACCCTACAAAAAGCAGAGAGCTCAGAAGCTCTTTGGCTCCCCTCAAGTCTTATTAGGTCTGCATATTAATGACTTGCAGCAATATAAAGCAACCCTTCAATGGACTTTTCCCCTATGTACCCAGGCTTCCTCCAACGACACACTGGAAGAGCAAAGGGCTGGAACGCCCAAACTCTCCACTAATGCTCCTGAGCATTACTGGTGTTGATGAGTAGGGTTCAAAAGTGAAGGAAAGCATCTGCCTCCCTGGAGTGTCACTTTCTATGTTCTTGCAGGATTTTTTTCAAACCTGGAATTTGAGGGAACCTGAAGTGGGAGAAAGATTATTCACTACTGATGCCAAAGGTGATTCCAAGACCTTTGGTGCTTATGATTTAGTGAACTGATACTTGTGAAGCTGCAAGATACATTCCAGTCATGCAAACATCAGGGTCAAAACTTATTTCAAACAAGTGTAGCAGCAGCAATACAAGAGCAGGTATTTTCACTTTCCCCCTTCAGCATATAAAGAACAAATCACATCTTACACAGCTACTGAACAAATGACTGCATGTAGCCTTATTGTTAGTTCAGAAATAACATATCACCAAAAGAACCACAATTCTGCAAACACATTACACATTTCTAGTGTTCTGTGACACTACTGATCTCAAAACAAACAAGCAAACCGTACAACAATCCACCATCCAGCTGTTACTCAATCTCATCTCACTCATTCACCCCCTGTGCATCACTTTCCTAAGCCTGCTGTAGTCCTTGCAAAGAACTTGGTTTCTTTCCAACCGCTTTTCAGAAGGTCTTTCTTTGCCTACAACCAAACTTACCATTTATCTTTGTCTCTCTACTATTGAAGACAACAACATGTACGGAGCATCAAACATACACAACTAACATAGCCAAAGTCTTGCAAGCTGGGTTCAAAAAGAAATAGCCTTCTCTGTATATTATGAATGGGATCATTTTAAGGCCATTCAGTTATACAGGCGCATGCAACGATAAACACTCCATATCACATTACTTCTGGTTTATTATTTATTTATCTATCTGTAATTGCCCTTGCTGTCTCTCTTATTAAAAGATCAAATATTTAGATCTCCCCCTTATCAGACTTACCAGAGGATTGACCTCGATTAGTGGCGTCATGATCGCTGTCTCCTTGCTCACTGTCTCCATGACCACTGTCCTTAGAGCTTACTATGTCTGCTTCCTGGAATGCAGAACTAGAAACATTAAAAAAAAGGGTATTAATATGTGAACACCCAGGAATAGGAAAACTCATAAAACATTCTTCTGCCATCCCATGGTCACATGTGGTGCTGCACTCAGCCAGACCTCCCACTCACAGCAGTGCTTCTCTCCATCACAAACAAAACTTGTAGTTTCAGGCATTAACAATCCAACTGGAACAGACAGTGGCCATTATTACACCGCCTGTGTTACACACAGTTGTTATAAATAATTTGGTTGAATTTGCTTAAACTGGAAAGCTAAATTTGCACACAGAGAAGTCAATATTATCTGCCAATTCTCACAAAGGGACTCATAAGTATTTGAAACACGTTTCAGCCAAGCACAAAATTAGATTTGGCTCTTTTTTCCAGGTAATTTCAGCAAGACCCACCACAGCCATAATTCAAAGATGATCATTCAGTGCAGATTTATTTTGCTTAATGGTTCTGTCTGAACAAATTCATTTTTATATTCCTCAGCTATTATTCTACATCTGCAGTGAACATATTTCCACATCCCTAGCCGTACTTGCTGAAATGTATCTCCTGTTGTGTAAAAATTAGGGCTATAATTTAGGAAATCAGGAATGAGGAGGTCCTACCTGTTTACCCGCCGTGGTCTATCAACTAGATAACTGAGCTCTGCACGCTGGTGTTTAGTCTAGAAAAATAATTAGAAAAAAATGAACTCCCAGTATGGTTTGCTGGCAACCAATTTATGTATCTGCAGCTGTAATAATGGAATATGAATATTCAGAGTTAGGCCATTCAACACCTATAAGAACACATATTACTAGCATATCTCATATACTTTTCCTCTTTACTTGCACAGCAAAGTGCCAATGGGCTTGGCACTCAGTTTAATCAACAGGGATTAAGACTAGATTTGAATCCCTAGCCTTTGGTAAACAACAAATTACCCCACGGATGAAAAGTATAAAAGGAGCTACCATGGCGTCTGAATAATGGACCCACAATCCAGACTCCAACATGTATTTCTATGGAACACAGTCAAAGAGAGACTGTAATAAAATCAACAGTGGCAGCAAAAAACAACAACAAAAACCTACAACCAGTGTTTTAAATCCTTACAAATGTTAACATTAAAAAGAACTTCATTGGTTTTGTTAAGTCTCAAACTATTTTTTCTACCAGTAACAGAGTATACACTCTAATATCCAGTTTAGTAGGACATTAAGTCTAGATTATATGATCCATATGAATTCTTTACGCACAGGATAACACAAAACATGCATAAAGGGGCAGAGTGTAAAAGCTCTGACAAAAGCTTTCAAAAACATCTTTTAAAATGCTTTCTTGATCAAAGCATGCTTCAATACAGAGATGACTCTGCCAGAGTCATGAAAAGTTAATTAATAAAGTCTTAATTCTGGAATTAATTAAAACTTCCACCTGGTAATGCATCAACCCCACAAGGGAATTCCTTCACAGCCTTAATCATAAAAGCAAAGCTTCCTAGATACGAATACATTGGCAGTGTGTGTGTGTGTGTGTGTTAAATATAGAGAGTATCACAGGGAGATATTCAGATCCTGAAAAGAACCATACTCAGATGTTTCTCAGATGCATTAATGGGTTTAACCCGAAGATAAAACAAACAGCAATACCAAACCTCAGGCTATGTTGTTTTTGTATACAGAAATGGAAGATACTAGGCTAGCTTCATTTAAATTCATACAGTGTGGGCGTTCGGTTGCAATAATATCAAACCTAGTCTCTGGTGTACAAATGCTTCTGTCTTCAAAAGATGAAGGGAGAGGAGCAGGAAAAAACCACAAGTACCTAAGAAAATAGCAGTGCTGTCAAACTACCCTGTCTGACAGAACTGAAATTCTGAAATGGAGCCAGGGATGCATCATGCTGCATCCTGTGCAAATTAGGAAGCTGGGGGGGGGGGTTAGAGTGCACAGAGGAAGTAGGCAAAGTGCACTGCAGGCTGAGGGGTGGCACTGGGTGCGGGAAGAGTCATGCCAGGAAGAGTCAGGACACAAGTCCCCTGACTATTCCTCTACCACTTGCAACAGTTTCTGCAGCAGCAGTAGTAGCAACAGAAGTGACAGCAAAAGTAGCTTGCAGTCCAGCCAAAGCAGAGAGAATTTTACAATCTAATGATGAGAAGAACATTCAGGTTACAGACCTAGTAGGGTTTGCAGAGAAAGGTCACAAGAAAACTGGCCTCCCCCCTGCCACTACATGTTGGTAACACTAATGCAGGGAGTAACCCTGATGACAACGACCAGCGATGCCATAGAGGCCGTGATCCCCCAGTGCACTTGCTTGGGAGGGAGCCCCACGGAAGTCATCAGGGTCGACTTCCAAGAAAGCAGGCAGCCGCTTTCGCCAGAACACCGATTCAGTGTGTCACGTCTTAAGGGGACGACAGGGCGGAGGGGGGGGCGGGGCCACGCCTCTGCCGGCAGCCTTACCTCGCTGGACAATATACTGCCGTTGGAGATGATGTCGGGCTGCTGGTCGGTGTAGCCGGTGACGATGGCCCCGCAGGGGTTGTGCTCGGCGTCGGTGCTGCGGGACGGGCTGCAGGGCTTGAGGAACATCAGGTCGGTCTTGGCCGACTCGGGCGTGAGGCAGACCTGGTAGCAATAGTTCTGGTTGTGGTGGTTGGAGCCGAAGCTGGCCGACTCCTCGACGGGCACCTGGGCCGGGTTGCTGGGCACGTTGGAGCTCTGGACCAGCATGATGTCGGACTTGCTGAGCTTCTTCTTGCGGGCCCGCGCCTGGCGGCTGCAGCAGGGGCAGCAGCAGCAGCAGCTCAGGCAGCAGTCGCTGGCCAGGCAGGTGTAGATGTTCAGCTTCTTCTCCTTCTGGCAGCGCACGGCCAGCACGATCATGGCCAGGAGGAAGATGAAGGAGACCGAGCCCAGGGCGATGATGAGGATGAGCGTCAGGTCCAGGGAGGTCTCGCCGTGGCCGCCGCCGCCGCCGCCCCCCGCGGGGCTGGGCCGGTGCTCTCCGCCGGGCCCTCCTGCCCCGCCGCCGGGGCCCAGCCCCAAGCGGCGGCTGCCCGTGGTCGCGCACCTCGATGACCAGCTCGTAGGGCCGCTGCGGGTCGCGCTTGGCCGGCACTTTGCGCGCCGTGCGCAGCTCGCCGGTCCGCCAGTCCATGCGGAAGAGGCTGGCCTCGTTGCCCCGCACGATGCTGTAGGTCAGGCGCGCGTTCTCGCCGTCGTCCGCGTCCACGGCCGCCACGCGGGTCACCAGGTAGCCCGGCTCGGCCCCGCGGGGCAGCACCTCTCGGGCTGGCGTGCCGTTGCGGCCGGGCAGCGGGCTGACGATGGCGGGCGCGTTGTCGTTCTGGTCGACCACCACGATGTTGACGGTGGCGTTGCCGGCCAGCGCCTCCTCGCCGCCGCCCTCCTCTCCTCCGCCGGCCCCCCCTCCGGCGGCGGCGGCGGAGTCGCGGGCCTCCACCTGGAAGCTGAACTCCTTCAGCTGCTCGTAGTCGAAGGAGCGCAGGGCGTAGAGGAAGCCGTTCTCGGAGTTGATGGAGACGTAGGTGAAGACGGACATGCCCTGGATCTGGCTCTCCAGGATGGAGTAGGCCAGCTGCGCGTTGGCGCCCTGGTCGCGGTCGGTGGCGCTGACGGCGTAGATGTAGGCGCCCGGCACGTTGTTCTCGCTCACGTAGACCTGGTAGACGGGCTGCGAGAAGCGGGGCGCGTTGTCGTTCACGTCGCTGACGCGCACCTGGATGGACTTGCTGGTGCTGAGGGGCGGCTCGCCCAGGTCCCGCGCCACCACCGTCAGCGTGTAGGCGTCGCCGCCGGGCTGCTCGCGGTCCAGGGGCCCCTCGGTGACGATGGTGTAGTAGTTCTTGAAGGAGCTCTTGAGGCGGAAAGGCGCGTCGCCCTGAAGCAGCTCGCAGTGCACTTGCCCGTTCTCCTCCGAGTCCCGGTCGGAGACGCTGAAGAGGGCCACCACCGTGCCGGGCGCCGCCGCCTCGCTCACGGCCTCTTTGACGGTGGAGAAGCTGATCTCGGGCGCGTTGTCGTTGGCGTCGAGCACCCGCACCAAGACCTTGCAGTGGGCGGGCACGGCGTTGGGCCCCAGGTCCTTGGCTTGCACGTACACCTGGTAGACCCCGCTCTCCTCGTAATCCAACTCGCCGTTGACCTCCAGGCGGCCCGTCCGCGGCGAGATGCCGAAGAGCTCCCGGGCGCGAGCCGAGATGTGGCTGCTGAACGAGTAGATGATCTCGCCATTCTGGCCCTCGTCCGGGTCGCTGGCGTTGAGCTGGAGCACCAGCGTGCCGGGCGGCGAGTTCTCCGGCAGGGAGACGGTGTAGACGGGCTGCTCGAAGGCGGGCACGTTGTCGTTGGAGTCCAGCACTCGGATGGTGAGCAGGGCCGTGCCGGTGCGCTGCTGGGGCTGCCCGCCGTCGACGGCCGTCAGCACGTAGCGGTGCACCGCCTGCTGCTCACGGTCCAAGGGCTTGGAGAGCACCAGCTCGGCGAAGCGGTTGCCGTCGGGCTGCGTCTGCACGTCCAGCGAGAAGTAACTGTTGGGGGTGATCTCGTAGGTGCGGAGCGAGTTGGTGCCCACGTCCGGGTCGAAGGCGCTCTCCAAGGGGAAGCGGGTGCCCGGCGTGGCGCTCTCGGAGATCTCCACCGTCAGGTCGGGCTCCGGGAAGGCGGGCGGGTTGTCGTTGATATCGAGCACTTCGATCTCCACGCGGAAGAGCTCCAGCGGGTTCTCCAGGAAGACTTCCAGGTGCAGCTGGCACGACGGGTTCTGCTTGCAGATTTGCTCGCGGTCGATCTTCTCGTTCACGTACAGCACGCCGGTCTCCAGGTTGAGGTCCAGGTAAGGGCTCCGCGAATTGGGCACCGTCTGGAAGCGGCGAGCCGAAAGTTTTGTAATGTCCAAGCCCAGATCCTCGGCGATATTCCCCACGAAAGTGCCATGCTCTTGCTCCTCTTGCACGGTGTAGTGAAGCTGCGACAGGGCTCCCTCCACCATCCAGATTAAGGCAAGGAGGACTAGCACGACCATCTCCAAAGGGGGGAAGAGATTCCCCCCCCTCCCCGACACACCGCTTCCTCCTTCTCCAAAAAAGCCCCCTCCTCCTCCTCCGAGAAACGCGGTGCCTGTGAGCGGAGGGAGGGGGTGGAGGGGCAGAGATTGATGGGGGCTTTAAAAAGGATTTATGGTCACTCCTTTTCCTTCATTTTCTCCTTTCTCCCCCATCGCTTTGCTTTGGGAAAACAAAATCAATAAATTACCACTTTAAAAAAAAGAAAGAAAGAAAAATCACCCGAGGTGGGTCTGGGAAGACGCCGGGCAAAGCTCCCACCTCATCGGTGATCTTCGCCAGAAATGACCAACGCGAGGCAATAGGTAGCTGGCTACACAGACGCGGGAGCCCGTGCTAATTTATTCCCAGAGTCCTGGCACTGCACCGCGGCAGCCGGAGAGGCGGTGGAGGCAGCAACAGCAAATCCCGGGGAACTGGTATCTGTCAGGATTGTCCTCCTCGGCTTGGCTTCCTGATCATAGCAGGAGGGGGGAAGGCTGCAGGAAGAACCGATGGGCATGCCCTCTTGAGATGCAGGAAGAAAAATCATGAAAGAAGGGGGGGGGGGGGGGGAGAGAAGATCGTTTAAAAATCGCAAAAAATATTACGATCTGCAAAAAGATGCCATCGGAAGGGGGGAAAGGGAGAGGGCAGCTTGGCAGCCCCAAACTTTCCTTCCCTGAATTTCTCTGGGATTTGTCTGAGATTTCCTTAAATCTCTCTCGCCATTTCTTCCTCTGCCCTGAGCGCCCTCATCGTTTTCTGACTAGTGAGGGTCCGGATCAGTGTTCTTCTCCCTTCGCTATCGCCTGCCCCCCTCTCTCTGTGGCTTTCAAGCACATTCACTTTCTAGCCGCTGTTGCTGCTCGCTTGTCTCTCTTCTCCCGTCCCGGCTTCAGCTCCTGTGATCTCTGCTGGCTGTTTCTGAGCTCGGAGCGCTCGGCTTTTCTGTTTTTGCGCAGCGACCTACTCCTGCCAACCAATCGCCTCGTCGTTCCTGCCTTAGGCCGGCAGCCTATTGGTTACGCCGCACGTCCAGCAGATGACGTCACGGAGAAAAGGGGGGGCGAGCGAGCGAGCTGGGAGAACCCGACGCTGTATTCTCAGGGCGAGTGTGTGCGTGTGTGTGTGTCTATGGCAAAGAGAATAACCCTGCCACTCCCGACGCGCTTGCTAGGGAATCTCTGCCTCGGAAAGTTACTATTCCCCTGTTGCAGTTACTGAGCAAGGAGATCACCTTCTCGTCATCAATGCAAACCATGACGCTAATAAACAAGCTGCTCCGTGGAGACGGAATTTCCACCTGCAACTGGCTTTCCCTTTCGTCTTTTGCCTATTTCTGTACCTGCTTGGGTAAAAAAAACAACCCTCATCAACAAGGGAAACTTGAGACAGAATTTCCCTTCGTTATCTTCCTCGAAGTTTGATTTTGCTTTCTCCTTTACCAGTCGACTTTAAATACATGCATAATGGAGACAGTCCGCTTTTCCACCGAGTGCCTGGAGCTTTAGGGGTCTCAGTAGTCATAAACACTTGGCTGCACTTACCAGTTACTCCTTAATCAATTGCACTAAAGGAGCATCTGGACAAGCGAGGCAGACCAAGATTTGAGGGGAGGGGTCCGTGTGCTTGGATGGCGGCCCACGATTTGCAAGCAGCGTGCTGACATTTTGAAAACGACGGAGCGCTGACTGGGGAGAACTTAACCGCTTTGTGGATAACCACAGACTCGATGAAGACCCCCCCCCACCACACGCACACGCACTCAGAAGTAGGGTTCACCGAGTCGAACGAGGCTTTTGGCCATGCAGCGGAAGGGGTTGCCAGCAAATTAGTTACACGATGCGTGGACCGCCAGGGAGACAAGCAACAGAGTGTTTACTATTGGCTCACCCGCCCGCATATGGTGACTTCAGGCTCCTTTACACAGAGGAGTTGTACTTATAGCAACCGAACAGCAGCACTTGGTGAGCCACTACCTGGTGGCGCCTTCTCGCGCATTGATCCTGCTCTTGCAGCAGACCGGAGGGGCGACGCTGTCGTCTCGCTTGGCGCTTGAAGGGGCAGCGGTGCCGGGGTCGTCCTATCGAGCACACACGCACGCCCAGGCCCCCCTCCCCCCCGCGACCGCCTCTCTGACAGAGTGCCAGATCGAAGCCTTTTGAAAGGTGGCGCCGGAGAGAGAAGAAGCCGCCATCGGTATAAGATGGAGTGGAAGATGAGGCAGAACGAGAGGCCGGGGGGGGGGGCACCTTGAGGACCGAGAGCCGAGGAGCCCGTCATCTGAGTGGCTCGGCTCGGGAGCCAGGGCTTGGAGGACCGGGGTGCTAGTTGGTAGCCAGCCAGCCGAATTTACCTACTCTGGAGAAGCGGGGGCGCGCACTCACACGCGCTGCTCTCTAGAACCGATGCCGGCTGTACGGAAAATGGCTACTACGAGCGTAAGCCGAGTAATAAAGTGGATCACTGCAGGCTTACTCGGAAGTAAATGGCTCGTAAATGGCACCCTTGGTGGTCGGTCTCCTGACGCTGGCCAGACGCCTCGCTGTGTAAACGCACCTGGGGGGTGGGGGATGTGTGAGAGGACGTGTGTCCAGGTCCAACGTCGGGAGGTTGCCAGTAAAGCCCGCGGCTCGACCAAACCGTTTCCCCCCTACCAAGTGAGCAGGGGAAGGATCTCAGACGTTTAGAAACGAATTCTATGTACGTGCCGCGTCCATGTGTTGCGTTTAGGGGTTTTTCATAAATGCACTTGTGAAATGGCCAGCCCTGGAGAGTGGCATGCTGATCCCCGACCCGTTAAGCCTCGGCATGAAGCCCATTCAGTCTCCAAAGAGACCGGGGCGGGGGCGGGGGGGCTGAGTGTCGTCTGCTCGTGTTGCTGTGCTGTAAGGGCCATCAAGATTCCCAGAGGGGAGATTTATAGAGCAATTGCAAGACTAAAGATCCCTAAACCAGCTTTTTTAGAAAAGAAAAGCACGAGTCTCCTTTAGCATCGCCTCCTCTACTCCGCCGGCTGTGGAAAGAAGAGGGGCTCCCCCCCCCCATTCGCCCGTTGTTTGCGAAGCATGCCCCCCGCTCGTTGGCTCCGTGCTGCCAGCCTCCGATCTCGAAACACCCTTTCCCGTCCATTCCCTCCGCGCAGCCCGCTCTCCCTTGTCTCTCCTGCCTTCTTTCACGCGGATGGGTCTTGGCTCCGAGCCCTTAAAATCCTGGGCTGCCGGGGGTGGGATGGGGGGGGGGGGGGCAGGGGTGTGCGA